CATGGATAATATCGGACCCTGTGTTTTGGCTATACATGGGAAGGAATACTGTAAATTTACATTGCAGGACCTCTAGAGGCCTACAGACACGTCTGGGAGAAGGCACAGTTTCTGGAGCCTGGATAAATGGGTCATACTGTACATGGGAAATATACAGAAATAACTTTATTCGGTGAAAAATGAGTAACTTGCAGATATTAATACAAAAAAACCTCTCACAATCTCATGTAGAACTGAGATAGACTAAATTTGGAAATTAAAAGAAAATCAAGCATAAGTGATTTCACAATTGGCATTATTTTAGATTTGGACAACAATTTATAATGGATAAAAATGATGGTCCTGTTTTGCCTCATTGATTGCGTGCTTAGAGGCAGTGCTTTGCATGGAACCACAGCTGCTCTTGTTCATCATATGGACAGCTGCTTAGAGAACTAAATGTATCCAAATAGAGTACAGGAAATAGGGCTTAGCAGTGCACAGCAAACTTGGAAGGAAGTTGCCTGCCTTCTCTTAGTAAAACTAAAATGGAGGCTTTAAGTATGTATCCTGAAAATGAGCTGGCAGTTCTGTAATAATCTACAAATATGACCTATTTCCATTGTCAGTGAGAGCAGAGGGGTGTCTGGAGACCTGGTTTAAACAAATGATCTTCTCCAGGAATAATGGATATTGCATATTGTAAACACGTTTTAACTGAGTGCACCTATGGAGCATAAACAAGATTATTAAACAGTGGATAAATTAAGAATACAATTATCTTTTGAATTCTTGCTAAAAAAGTGAAATTTTAAAAGCTCTTCTATCACTTAAGTGAAATGTATTGTTAATATTGTGCTTAAATGAATTTGTAAATTGTTCTGTGCTTTCAAGTGATGTCCAACTTATGGCAACCCTAAATCAATTTGGATTTTCTTAGCAAGGTTTGTTCAAAGGACATTTGGCTTTGCCTTCCTCTCAGGCTGAGAGAAAATGATTTGCCCAAGGCCACCCAATGTGTACCATGGCTGAGCATGCTTGAAAAAATTAGGCTAATGTTAAAATGCAAAACTGAGTTGGAATATTAAAATTATCTGATGAACTAGGGGAGAAAAACGACAAACTTTGCATAAATACGTAGAATTTTGTATTAACCTTTCTGAGCTTCATGGCGATGTAGTAACAAGCCAAGTTGTTTGGACCATTGGCATTTATTATATTAATTTTGAGAGTAGTTTCCATTTGGTGTTAATATAGACAAAACTATGAGGAAAATGATTTAAAACAAATTATCTAGTTTCAGCCTTTAGTATTATCTCATGGAAGGGGATATGTGCCCCATCCTGTAAATTCCCACTAGTGCTCTATTACAAAGGAGGGTTAATAGAATCATGGTGTCTCTCAAACTTAACTTTGGGTGTGCCAAGGAAAAACCTCTACTTAACAAACATTCTGAGCTGGTTCCAGTGGAAAGTATTTTGCCTGGCAGTGAGTCATTCTGTAATTTAAGATTTCTGTAACAGAAAAACATATTTTATCCTAAGTTTCTAACGAGTATCGTGGCAGCACTGTATGCTACGGAAGAGGAAGTATTAACTATGCAACTTCCATATAGTATTTCCAGTGTTTCCACCACAGAGTTGTTTGATTAATTCCATAAAATGGTGAATAACTATGCTTGTGTGCTTGGTTGAAAACAAAAAATAACAGTGACCTCTCTACATCAAAGGGCCCGAAACAGTTGTCTGTTCTGCTCTTCAAGTACAGTAAAGGGATAAGTTCCTCATTCATGGAACACATTGGGTGGCCTTGGGCAAATCATATTCTCTCAGCCTGAAAGGAAGGAAGGCAAAGCCAAATGTCATTTGAACATTGATCTTTGTAGCCCACTAATGCAGGCGGGGAAAGTATATGTAGCTACTTCTTCCCTCAAAGAAGCATCTCACCATTTTAACAATATATTGTTTATTAAAACCACCTCTACCTTGTATCTCTAACATTCAAGAACATTTTCTTTCCGTTAGGAGTGTAACTTACTATGCAGAAGCTGCTTGTATTTTGAACTAGTCAATTTTACAATTTCATTGACCCATCTGTACCCCTTGCTTGCCACTAACCTGCCCACCTTTCCCCTTGCTCACTCACAACTCACCTGCCACCTTTCCCCTTGCTCATTCACACCAGTTTGGGCACTCAGTCTCTAAAACAGGGGCCCTCAAACTAAGGCCCGGGGGGCAGATACGGCCCTCCAAGGTCATTTACCCGGCCCTCGCTCAGGGTCAGCCTAAGTCTGAAAGCACACAGCATCAACAGCAATCCTATCTCATCAGCCAAAAGCAGGCCCACACTTCGCATTGAAATACTAATAGGTTTATATTTCTTTACATTGTTCTTCATTTTAATTATTGTATTGTTTTAAAGTGTTTTTTGCACTACAAGTAAGATATGTGCAGTGTGCATAGGAATTCATCCATGTTTTTTTCAAATTATAATCTGGCCCTCCAACAGTTTGAGGAGCTGTGACCTGGCCCTCTGTTTAAAAAGTTTGTGGACCCCTGCTCTAAAAGATTTGCCATCACTAGTATAGGTTATGCACCTGGATCATCAAATGATGTTTCAACATATGACTGTCCAGATGCATAACTTATACACACCTATTTCTTCTAGTGCATTTCATAGTTTCTTCATCATCTACACAATAAAAAGCTTTGTTATACTATATAAATCACCAGTTGGTTTTGTTCAGGAGCACTGTGCAACAAAATTTGAAAAATGTTCCATTTCTGGTTTGAAAGTGTTAATTCCTGTTTAATTCTGTGGTACTTACTTTGAAAGTAGTTGTTACACTTCAAAAACGTTTTTGTGGCTGCCACAAACTATTGGTTGAGACTCTGAGATATTCATTGAAAAATTATAGCAAAATATGCTGCAGGATGTCCCCCACAACAAAAGTTATTGCAATTTAATAAACTTTCCCATGTTTTTATGATAGAACCAATTAGGAAATGACATTTATAACCCAGGAACAAAAATCGTGTTATTTAGTACATTCCATCAGCCAATATATATAGAATAGAATAACTTTATTGTCATTGTGTATTGTACAGTGAAATTAAATGCATTCCTCAGCAGAGATCATAAAAACAACACACTCATCCCTCGATGCTCCAACCACCAAAGCACAGCCCCAATGCCAATGTGAAACCATGGAGTTCAAGATCATTACAGCTGTAGTATAAAAGCTATCTCTCAATCTGTTTGTCCTTGTCTTTGTCACCCTGTACCATCTGCCAGGTGGTAATAATTAAAAAAAAAAGATTGCACTGGGTGAGATGTATCCTTAAGAATGCTCTGAGCTTTCTTAAGGCTGTGGGACTTACAAAGTTCTTCCAAATTTCCAGAGGGAGAGGGCAGCCAATAATTTCTGTGCAGTAGTGGTGACCATTTGGAGCACCTTCCTATCTGGCACTGTACAGTTACAATGTGCATGGACATCTTACATGTGTCTGGGAAGGAAAAGCATCCCTTCTTTCCTCATGATGGGCTTCCTGTGGGCATCCAGTTGTTCACTGTGGAAAAAAAGATACCAAAATAAATACCGATCGAGTGGTTTACTTCAGCTAAAATAATTTTTAGTTATTTGTGGGGTTGTCTTTACATTTTAGATATCACAAAGTAATTAAATACGTATGTTTCGAAGGGAAACCTCATTTTTACAAAATGCATGGAGATACACACACACGCACATATACATACACGAGGGGTATTTTTTAAGTAAGGTCCGTTTGAACATAAGTACACAATGAAAGTTTATTTCAAAAAAGTAAATTTATTTTCAGAAAGTACATACTTCACTCTATTTTTCGACATAGTTGCCAAGTTTGTTCAAACACTTATCATACCTCTGAACCAATTTTAAAATACCCTCTTCATAAAAACTTGCCGCCTGCTCCGATAACCAAGAGTTCACTGTAATCAAAGAAGGGCGACCGGAGCGGTCCTCATCATGGACGTTGTCACGGCCATCTTTGAATTGTCGTACCCACTTACGCACTTTGCTTTCACTCATAACAGTATCACCGTACACTTCATAAATCTGTCGATGAATTTCTGCAGCAGGCAGGTTCCTTGCTGACAAAAACCGTATCACTGAGCAAACCTCACATGCGGAGGGTGAGTTGATAGTCTTAAACATTTTTAAAGCACAGAACAGAACCATACAGGTTAGCTACAGAGTGGAAACTGAGCACAGTTGTTCCCGAGGCATGCCGGTACATGACGCACGCACTCGTTGCGGTATGCGCGCGAACTACTAGTGTCTACAACAAAACGGACCTTACTTAAAAAATAACCCTCATATGTATATGTGTGTGTGTGTGTGTGTGTATCTCCTTTCAGTTTTATTCTTGCTGTATAATCTAGGGATAGAGAAGAGAATTCATGCTCAAGCATTTTGGAAATTCATAAAGTTGCTATACATTGACAAATGACTTGAATGCACATAAATACACATTTTGAAGTAGAAGTTATTCATTGTGACTTTCAATATTACAAATGAACACTATCAAGCAAGTATGTGCTGTAATGTCCCCCATCTGCTTGTGACTTTCTGACTATGCACTAATAGTCAAATGGGAAGACATGGGTGCACCAGTGCATAAAAGCCTGAAATTGAGTTGTTTTGCCTAACTTGCACAAATACAGTGTTGATTGTGTCAGTGCTTCCCATACTTCTTAATTACTTTAATCTGGAAGGGGAAGTGAATTTTCCGTTTTAAATCTAGGAGAGGTATTGAAGTCCTGGATTACTGTGTTGCATACAAATGTAGGATCCCCTTTGTCTGGCTCCAGAGAACTGTGCAAAATCGGTGACATGGAGCTTATCCCAAAAGAGTTTCTGATGCAGTGTTTCCTGCATAAATAACAAGTTTCACTTTTATCTTTGTGACTTATTTCTGTTTTTCATATGACAGAATATGAAATGCATAGGAGGTTAACCTTGTTCCCATTTCTCTTAACAGGTATTCGTTACAGTACAGAAGTAAGTGTTGATGAAGTAAAAGCCCTGGCTTCTCTAATGACATACAAATGTGCAGTGGTTGGTAAGTAATGTTTGTTAAGGTTCATATCTCCTCATTTTTATTTTGCCAGTGCTAAATAAGATCCTTAAGCTGATACCTCAGTTTATCTTCAAACTTAAGTCTTAAAATATTATGTCAAAATATATACAGGTTTTCAGAGGTATAGAAAAGAGGTAAGGAATTTGTGGTTATCCCAAGTGTTGGACTGCAGCTCCCACAAACCCTAGTCAGCATAGCAAATGGTGAGGAATGATATTAGTTACAGAATTGCATATTCTGCATTACTTGCATAGAGATACAGATTACATAGTGAATCCTTTCACCTCTGCTTCATTTGTTCTTTTTAACACAGAAACAGTGTTCTGTTTAGGAATAATACATTCAAGGTTAGCGCTCAACTACTTGGCTTCAATGGAATTAGAGACTTCGTAAATAGAAGAGGTAGAGCCGAAGAAGACTTGGATTTAATAAATCAGGAAATACTACTTAAAACTAAACTTCCTTGCTTCTAAAAGCCGCAAAGCATACATTTCTCAAGCTACTGCGCTGTACTGTATTCTGAACACTAGGCTACAATACAGAGGTGTTCTTTAAAAAATATCTTGGTTAGTCAGTATGTGTTTCACTGTTACTAGGGAGAATTTGGTACTTCAGAAACCTGGAGAAAATCCTGGTTCTTTACACATCTTTGGGAACCATCACAAATTTGTCTGCACTTCTAAGGCTAACAGATGTTGGCGATAAGCCCCAACTTGTTTTGCCTTTGTTACTTTTTCAGGCTTAACCAAACAGCTGGCATTCTCTAAAATGAGAAAAAGTGCTGAGGGATCAAACAGGAAATTGGATCTGAAAATGTGCGCAGTTTTTGCCTCAGTAGAACTCAGTTTTTCTTTTTCTAGATTTTATCCCTTTATTTTTGTGTCATGCCTCACTCCAATGTACAAAACTCAAAAATACTCAAAATGGGATTTCCTTTATGTTTTGTTCACTTTCAGTTGTTCTTGTGTATGTGTGAATGTGATTTCTACGTCTCCCATAAACTAATGGCAAGCTCATTAATTTCATAGGGCTTTCTTAGGAGGATAGTGTCTAGATCCAGGGAAGTCATGCTATCCCTCTATTATGCCTTGGTGAGACCACTCCTGGAATACTATGTCCAATCCTGGGCACTGCAATTGAAGGGAGATGCTAACAAGCTGGAATGTGTCCAGTGGATCAAGGGTCATGTTTAGCCTGAAGAAGAGATGACTGAGAGGAGACATGATGGCAATTTATAAATATGTGAGGGGAAGTCATAGGGAGGAGGGAAGAGGCTTGTTTTCTTCTTCCATGGAGACTGAAACAATAGCTTCAAACTACAGGAAAGGAGATGCCACCTGAACACGAGAAAGAACTTCCTAACTGCGGGAGCTGTTCAGCAGTGGAACTCACTGCCCCGGAGTGTGGTGGAGGTTCCTTCTTTGGAGGCTTTTAAACAGAGTCTGGATGGCCATCTGTTGGGGGTGCTTTGAATGCAATTTCCTGCTTCTTGGCAAGGGGTTGGACTGCATGGCCCACAAGGTCTCTTCTAACTCGATGATTCTAAGGAATACTCAGAGGTAGTTTAGACAATCCCTTTTTCTGTAATACTTGGTATTCATTGATTTGTCTTCCAAGGATCTCCCAGTGGCGCAGTGGGTTAAACTCTTGTGCTGGCAAGACTGAAGACTGACAGGTTGCAAGTTTGAATCCAGGGAGAATGTGGATGAGCTCCCTCTATCAGCTCCAGCTCCTTATGCGGGGACATGAGAGAAGCCTTTCACAAGGGTGATAAAACATCAAAAACATTTGGCCATCTTCTGGCCAACATCCTTGCAGATGGCCAATTCTCTCACATCAGAAGTGACTTGGAGTTTCTCAAGTCACTCCTGACATGACAAAAAAAAAATCCAAGTACTAACCAGGGTTAACCATGCAGATGGGAACTAGTCCCTTAAGTTATTTGGATGACTTTAGTTATTCTTACTTTTCACTACTTGCAATTGTTTTTAACATAACTACAAACATTTATTTTCAGATGTACCATTTGGTGGTGCAAAGGCAGGTGTCAAGATCAATCCTAGGAATTATACAGTAAGTTAAAATCTATTCTCATCTATCATGTTTTGGTTGTCTAATTTGGGAAGTACTGTGGGAGCTTTGGTTGCAGGACTTCGGTGGATGCTCAAATCCCATCAAATATAATGCCATAGTAAAATGATGTCCACACACAAGACCGCAAAGAATTCAAATGAGTTATAGCAAGAGCCCGAGGAACTGTGAAATAGTTGCTAAATCAGACTTTGATTCGACTACATGATAATAATGTTTTAAATGTATTTTAATCTAACGTTTTATCTTTTGTATACTGTTGTACATTGTGAAGGAACATAAAATTACTGCCACCAAATTTGTGAGGAAAGCCGGGTAATGATCAGTATCAGCTTAAGAGTTGGTTTATAAGGGACTATTAATTACAGAAGGATTTATTCATTTGATAGCGTAGCGTTTACTGTCCCTGGTTTGGTTTTACTTCTTATGCAGGCTGTTTGACTTAGGAGAAACTGTATCAGGCAAGGCTTGAGGAAAACAGTAACAAATTTATTTAACAGGAGTATAACATATTCAATTGTTTCTTCACAAAGGCACAAATCTTAGTTGGTTACAATAGTAAGGTGTCAGGAGTAACTTTAGGTACAGACTTTAAGAGATTTCTTTGAGTAGATATATCTTTCTTCAACTAGTGTTCTTTTACTACAAATAAGCCACCTGACTTATCTAACTATATTGGCTCACAGCCAAACCCTGATTCTTAATATTAAAGAACCAGTCTTCCCTATAGTTCCCTACCTATAGAATTCCTGCTGGTTTTCCACACACCACAGGATCAACTACCTCTCCTGTAACTCTTTGGTCACAGACTCTTCCCTGTTTCTCCCACTAGAGAAATCAGTCCTTTCTGCAACTCTAACGGTCACAGACTGCCTATTTCAAACAGCCGTGCAGCTAGGTGACAGTTGGCTCCACCCCCGTTGCTATGGCAACTCAGGCCAAGCCAGCCACCATCTCTAACAAAATATAATTCTACGTACTTACCATACTTTATTATCCACTGTTTAAACAACACATAACCATAAGAATAAAATTACACATCTTCACATACGTAATGTGTTATATGTTGTCGGCATCGAATTGCTGCTGTTGTAAGCCTCCCTGAGTCCCCCTTCGGGGGTTGAGAAGGACAGGGTAGAAATGTTGGAAATAAATAAATAAATACGAGGCTACAGCAAGGTATGCCTATACATCAGCGTATTGTTCAGCACGCAGCCAAACCCACATCTGCTTTTCAGATATTTCCCCAATATTTTTGAATTATGATTGGTTAAATTCTTAGATGCAAAAACTCTGGATATGGAGGGCTGACTGTAATGGATCCTGATTTATTTTTAGAATTGGAATGTTTTCTCCTAAGTTTAATAACCAATCAGACTGTTAAAGTTCTGTTTTTCAAACACATTACAAGGTTGAATTCAATTTCCCACTCCACTCAAAGTTTGGAGCAAAAATGAATAATTATTCCTGCAATTGTGCTGCAGCTCCAAGGCACTTGTGATACCTCAGAATCATGAAAACTAGTACCAGTTTTTCTCAAAGCAGATAAATGGCAGAGGAGTCGGAAGGGCTAATTCCTAGAGTCGCCTTCCATTTCCAAGGTACATTGAAAGCATAGCAGAGCTGCGGGGATAATATTCTGTCACAAGCTAGGCTGTGGCAATGTGACTAAAGCTAACAAAATAGATGGGATGAAACACACTAATATTCTCCTGGCTTTATTTTGCTAAAATTATAATATTTCAGTGATGGTTGTTTAATAGCTTCGAGTAACGTGTATGTTTTTTGTTATAGGATAATGAATTGGAAAAAATCACAAGACGGTTTACCATGGAGCTAGCAAAGAAAGGTTTTATTGGTATGTAAAATGACAGCTATTAAACAGATTTTTGTAAGAATAATGATTGGCTATATCTTCTGCTTTCACTTCTTGGTAGAAATAGCAGCTGATGCTTGACATGCTCTAAATTATTCAGGTATCATAGTGCATCACATCTGAGTATATGTAGGAGTGCTGGAGAGCTTTTACTGTCTTTCATTAAAACTAACTACCAATAGAATTAGTTTTTCCCTGTACGTCTTCTGATCGCAGGTTCTTGTGATTGAATTTCTCTCTGTTTGGTATGTTGTTTCTCCATAAAAACTGCAGAAGAGATGAGTTGTAGCTTGTATTTCTCTTTGTAGTTGATGGATTACTTATTTATTTACTTATTAACAGTACTTATATTCTGCCCTTCTCACCCTGCAGCGGACTCAGGGCGAATTACAATGCACATATACATGGCAAACATTCAATGCCATTTAGTCATGCAACATATATAGACAGACACAAAGGCAATTTAACATTCCAGCTTTCCGGCTTCATGAGGGTATGCTCTATTCCGGCCACAAGGGAAGCTGCTGCTTCACCGTCCACTTGTGACACCGAATCCATGATGGAGTACTTCCTCATTCTTGTGCACACTGCTGGAAGGTTTCAGGGTGTCATAAATTAGTTAAATTAGCCTCCCTGCATAAAGCAGTACCTAAATTTCCTACTTGACAGATGCAGCTGTCTTTTGGGCTACATAAGTCAACAGCAACCTGGAGCTTACTCCGACCCGGGCTGGCTTAAAATTCATGACCTCTGCTAACTAGCTGCGCCATAGTCCAATCCCGTTTATATATGGAGGAGCATCCAGTCATGTGAATTCTGTAGTGTGGAGTAGTATGGGATCAGATCCTGGGATATAGGGCAGTGTAGAAGGAGCCTGAGAACTGAGTGTTCAGCTTGCCAATTTTGACTTCCCACCACTCAGCTTCATTACTGAACAGAGGGTTAATAACTAATTATTATTATTATTATTATTATTATTATTATTATTATTATTATACCTCACCTCCATCTCCCTGAAGGGACTCAAGGCGGCTTTAAAACAAAGGGGTATAGAAACAATAGCCTTAAAACTCACTTGGACAATACACAACAAAAACCAATAACCAGAAACACTAACATAGGCATGATCAGGCTATAAAAAAGACTGGGTATGGGACAGTGCAAAGGGTTGCCCATATTCTGAAACAACAAACTCTCTGTTCCCCCATATTAATGGTACAATGCATTTTAATGTAGTAAGTTCTCCATTAATTTTAATAAAGGAGGATATTTAATTCTTTATTTTAAAACAGGCCTCCTCAAACTGAGGCCCTCCAGAGGTTTGGGTCCCCAACTCCCAGAAGCCCTAGCCAGCTTGTGAAGTGGTCAGGAATTCTGGGAGTTGGAGGCCAAAAAAGCTGGAAGGTTGTAGTTTGAGGATGCCTGTTTTAAAAAGTGAAGCATTTTCTGTGAGAGCCTAAGAATTGGTTGTACTGAATTAAATGAGTGCTTCAACTTGTTTTTTTTTCTTGTCTGTTGATAATGACGAGATAAATGCATCAGGGCTTAATGGCGATAACGTTGTCCAGATGATGCCCAACATCTCATACAACATTAGAGGATAGCAATTTGTCTTAATATGTCCAAGTTTAAACGTAAGAGCAATACTGAGTTCCTAAAAGTTGGGTTACAATCTGTCTTCTTGACCCAGCATGGCTGGAGATAATCATCATCATCATCATTTTTATTTATACCCCGCCACCATCTCCCCCGATGGTTTACATGGGGCCAAGCCCGAACAACAAATTACAATACAAAAAGTACAAATTGCAATAAAAAAACAACATAACATAACATAAACAAGAGTAAAAACATCTATAATCCAAACATATTTTGGGTGCCCCACATTTGGGATATGCTCATCTGGTAAATGTTGCCATTTTGGACAAGATCCAGTGTCTGAGATGGTTTCCTCTAGAAAAAAAAGATAGAAGAGACATGACAGATATATAGTATGACCGAATTATGAGAAATTTCTCTTTTTTTACTTAGCAACAGAATTCCGGGCTGTCTGTTAAACTCAACAGCTGGCAATAAGGGCATTAGAAAACACTTCTTTCAGCAGGATATTCCCAAGACTCTGGGCATTCACTACTATAAAATACTATAAAATGATGCCCATGAACTTGGTTGGCTTTAAAGGGGGATTCGACAGTTTCATGGAAAAGCAGGGGTTGCAGTGTCTCCTTTCAGGATCATCAGAGGCAGTCAGTAAGTGGATGCAGTGGGTTAAACCCCTGTGCCGGCAGGACTGAAGACTGACAGGTCGCAGGTTCGAATCCAGGGAGAGGTGGATGAGCTCCCTCTATCAGCTCCAGCTCCTCATGCAGAGAAGTCTCCCACAAAGATGATAAAAACATCAAATCATCCGGGCGTCCCCTGGGCAACGTCCTTGCAGACAGCCTATTCTCTCACACCAGAAGCGACTTGCAGTTTCTCAAGTCGCTCCTGACACGACAAAGAAAGAAAGTAACTGTATCATCTGCTGGAGAGCACAAAGGAATTGGGGGTACTGTTGCATCCACATTCTGCTTATAGGCTTCAGTTTCCAATTAGCCAGTTGCTGAGCTAGGGAAACATTTCATCTGATTTGTCCAGTTTGCTCTTACATTAAAAAAAACTATATGGTTTATGATTGCCGAAGGGAAATTGTGTTTGGAAATGTGTTTCGAAATCGAGATAAGTTCAGTACATACAGTAGAGCCTCATTTATCTGCCATAAACAGGTCGGCAGAACATCGGATAAATTAAAATGTTGGATACGATGGAGTCTCCTATTGTTACCCGTCGGACACGGCACTAGGCACCTAGAAAACTAACAATAGGGACTTTGGAGTTTTTACTCCTAACTCTAGAATGGTCCAACAGGAAGTGCCCGAATGTAGAAGAGGAGCATGGAAATCACAGAGGGGAGGACTCTTCTTCCAGTCATGCCTCTTTTCCCCCTTTCCTCGTTCCTCCTCCAACTTATTTTGCCTTTTTCACTTATTGAGAATGGAGAGAGAATTGGGGAGCACTTCTTTTATTGAAGGGGAAATGCTGGAGGAAAAGGGGAGTGTCGGATAAGCAGTGGTTGTGTGCAGGTACAACTGCACCAGGAGCTCCAATTTTGTTTGCTTTGCACTGAATGTTTGTTATAGTCCTAAGTTTCAGGGACTCTGCAGATAGGTGGCTTCTTTTGGCTGCAATCATAGGGCAAGCCACCTGTCAATTATAGTTAGGTTCCCTGGTCCCGGCCCCTTTTTGGGTTTTGGAGGGAATAGGAGCCAGTTTGGGTTCAGTCCACACAGAGAAGTTTTCCATGCAGGGCATAATACCAAGAGCTCCTGTAGAAAGCTTCGTCTTCTACGGCTTGGCCGGGGAGATATACAGCCTACAGCTTGGCCGGGGTTATACAGCCCACAGCTTGGCCGAGGATCATACAGCCTTACAGCTCCTTTGCGGAGGGACTTCAGCCAGCCATCACTGAAACCTGAACTCCTTTTCCCTGGAAGTCTACAAAGCTCTGCTTGGTAAGGGTCACTCGCGGAAGCCAGAAGCAGTTGGTACCGGGTGCAGGGGCTCCACGCCAACAGAGGCAAAGACAGACTGCCCAGATTAGAAGTTAAGGATTTCCCCATTTGTTAAAATACAGTTATGAAGATAGTGCCTGTTCCCTGTGGACAAGATTGAGAGAGCCAATAGACTGTTAAGAAAGCCTTAAAGTACCTGTTTGTTTTCAATAATAAAGAACTTTGTTGAACCTTTAAGCAATCTAAAGACTCTGTTTTAAGGAAATCCAAGGGCCTTTAATCTGAGGCAGCCCCGGCATCCCGTTGGGCACACAGAATGTATGTCCTGTCTCTAGTCTTATGCACAGGCCCAGCGTGCGACAGCACAGATTGGATAAGTGAGACTCTACTGTAGCCTCAGAAATCATGAGACAGGAGGCAGAGAGAATTGTCAAATTCCAGTAGGTCTTGTTAAGATCATTGGCATTACTAAAGTAACTCTTTGATTCTAGGCACAGTCTGTTTCAACAGACACAGTTTTACAAGGTTTAATCTTAGTTTATTATCAGTTCATAGCTTGATTATATGTGATTCGTACATTTTTAAGTTCTCAGTTTTAGTTTTTTAAATTTAAGTCTGAAGTAAAGGTCTTTCTGCTCTAGACCGGTCTTTGTAACTATATAAAGGCTTAGATCCTATGATTCTTTACTTGAGGTTCACAGAAGAAGTGTTTGCCATCCTGTCCCTGAGCATTTACTTCAGTCTCTCACAACACCATTTAGTGGAGTCAGGGCCCTCTTTAGCAGGAGTGTGTGTGAATGTTGGGGAGAAAAGGGATGGATTTCTTTTCCTTGAATTTTATTATGTTGACATAGAGTCCAGAGTAGTCTCTTTGTTTCAGTCTCAACTTTCTGTTGCCTTGTTCCTCAGTTGGCCATTACAAGTTGAGCATCTCTTTCCTGGTTATTTCAAATTCTTCAAAATAAAAAAAATTGTTCACGTGAGTGTTTGAGATAGAGTCACCTTTGCATTCTGATTGTTCATTGTGTAAGGACTTCGTTCAATGCACAAATTAATTAAAATATGTTAAAGTATATGAAACAGACATGGATTTTGTGATTACACTTGGGTCCCATCTCCAAGATAACTCATTATGTATATGAAAATATTTCAAAATCAAAATTCACTGGTCCCGTGTTTCAGATAAAGGATACTAAACCTGTACTACTTAAAATGGAAGATGTTGGCATTTACCAGATGACTCAAATCTCATTGAGGGAAGTGTTTGTGAAAGGGAGAGAAGAGGTGGAGAGAAAATGAAACCTGCTAAAATCTTGTTGATGGGAGTGTACCCATAACTGTTACTCCCACTCTGGGAGAAAGGCAGAGTATAAATAGATAGATGGAATTGAAGCTTTTAACTCCCTTGCTAAGAATCCTATCTTATGTGTTTGCTTTGTTAATGTGTCTTTACTATGACTACAGCATTCTTGCCGAATAACTAATCACTGTGTAAACTTATTGCAAGTCCTCTAACTTACTCTGTTTGCAATCTTCCTACTCTCTGTTTTTCATCCTGATCTAAAATCTGCCCAGGAAGTTGAGGAAGGAAGTTGAAGCACCACCTCATAGCAAAGCAAAAACACAAGGCTTTGTAACATAGCTCCAAGATAAACAGAGGGTGCTGCTATCTGATACTGTATTTTCCAACTTTTATAAAGCTTGTTACAACGTGCACTAACGTTTGTATTGCTACAGTAGTCACTTTTATATGCTTTTGTCACCATTGTAGGGAAGCTTAATGGTTTGTGGAAAACTATTATAATATGAAACTTGGAATAGTTTTTGTAACATTTGATCACTCATTTTTAACGATATTGTTACAGTTGCTAAAACAGTAATCAGGACTGATATGCATATTGTATTAATGATCTCAATCTTGCCAACAGGGCCTGGTGTTGATGTACCTGCTCCTGACATGAGCACAGGTGAAAGGGAGATGTCCTGGATTGCAGACACCTATGCCAATACCATAGGTCACTATGTAAGTTCTGAGTGAAGGGGTATGCATGACTGAGGCAAAATGGGCAACATCACTCTGATTCACATTCAAAAATTAAATTAAAACACAACTAAAAGATCTAAATACAGGCAATCCCTGAGTTATAAACATCCGATTTACAAATGACTCATAGTTAACAGGGCTGAGACAATAGAAAGTGAGAGAAATCTACCCCTTGGAAAGAAAATTCACTCCTGAAAGAGTTTTCATGGGAGAAAGGTGTATCCACTGGAGCTCTCTCACCAATTCTTGTTTCCTCAAAAAGCCAGTTTTTTCTCTCTTCAAAATCCAATTATCACAGGGAGAGAAAGTGAGGTGACAGATTCTGAACAGGGGCACAAACAGCAAAACAAACACCACAGGGGTGTTAACCCTCCCTTGTGCTATCCAAACCTTATATATCATTTATATATACGAGAGTGACTTCAGTTACACTTTTAAAAATGTTCCAACTTAGAAACAAATTCAGCTTAAGAACAAACCTACAGAACCTATCTTGTTCGTAACTTGGGGGCTGCCAGTTTAATCACTCAGGCCATGAACAGAATTCCTATGCACACTGCACATATCTCATTTGTAATGCAAAAAAATGTGGAACAATTTTATTCAACATAAACTTGCCAATCGTTCATGGGCCTGCTTTTAGCTGATGGGAAGCATGAGCCTGCTTTTGGCTGATGGAATAGTCAAGTTAATTAGGATTGTTTTTGCTGTGTGCCTTCAAATAATTTCAGACTTAGGGTGAGCCTAAGTCTAAATTTAGGGTGGTTAAATGACCTTGGGGGGCAGTATCAGGGGGCTGCATCTGGCCTATGGGCCTTAATTTGGAAACCTCTGCTCTAGAATCTTGCTTAAGTAAGGAGTATTGGAGACCGATATGTAATTGTCTAGGACAAGAGTCCTCGAACTTTTAAAACAGAGGACCAGGTCATAGTCCCTCAAACTGTTGGAGGGCCGGATTATAATTTGGAAAAAAAAATTGAATGAATTCCTATGCACAGTTTATGTATCTTATTTGTAGTGCAAAGAACACTTTAGAACAATACAATAATTAAAACGGGGAACAATTTTAACAAATATAAACTTATTAGTATTTCATTGGGAAGTGTGGGGCTGCTTTTGGCTGATGAGATAGGATTGTTGTTGTTGTTGTTGTTGTTGTTGTTGTGTGCTTTCAAGTTGTTTCAGACTTAGGTTGACCCTGAGCGAGGGCCGGGTAAATGACCTTGGAGGGCCGTATTCGGCCCCTGGGCCGTAGTTTGAAGACCTCTGGTCTAGGATGATGGAGTTCAGGGAGGTCCTGCTCCACAGTAACAGCCTCAGCCTCATCATAGCATTCACCATTCCCCTTAGTCATTTGGCCAGACTCCATTCTGGAATCAGTAATTCAGTTTTACTAGCTAACTGGAGGTTAAACCAACCCTCACAAGACACATACTTAAATTGTAAGAGCAAAATGCATTGGAACACAACATATCTTATGACAACCTTTCATTTATATATATTTTTAAATAAATGATACCTAAGATAACACACATTTCCAAGATTTTTTTATTACTACTGTTACATTCACGTAACATACCCACAGTTTGAAAAGCTCTATTATAGAGGATCATGTCCTGAATCACAGGTGTTTTCCCACAAATCAACCTGACATTCAGCAGTAGCATTTTTGGCCCAGGAAGCCACTTGCCAGAACTCTTCAGACTATTTATGGGATGGGCAAGGAACTTTGGCTAGCTGCTGCCAGTCACAGAAGATAGCTCTGCCCCCAAAAGAGTATTGGATTGATTTAGTATAAAGCTCTTAATATATGAGTTGGTTATTCATCAAAAATTCTTGGACTAGGGTTTTCTTTTTGGATTTTGGGTATTTTGAGGAGGGGATTTTTGAATATGTGTATTTTCATATACATAATAAGGTATCTTGGAGATTGAACCCAAGTTTGAACACAAAATTCCTTAAAAGTTCATAAAATATTTTAAATTAGTTTTTTTCCTTGAAACACAGTTTGTGTACACAGAACTATCACAAAGCAAAGTTATCACTATCTTCCAGTGTTGATAATTTTGGATTCTGAGGTATTTTCCAAATAAGGCACACCAAACCTTTATGTAGTTTGTTGTAACTTAACTGGAGTTAGAGTTGCACCAATGAATACAAATTAATAACAGAATGTCCTACAAGATTTTTTTTTGTTTCTAATGTCTTTTTAATTCTTCCTCATCTTTAAATGACAGATAAGGGAACGAAATACTACACTTCTTGCAAAGCAAGTTGAAACATTTTGTCAGGATGTTTCCACAAAAGTGGGCAGCTTGTTGTTTAGAATTCTGCAGGGGTTTCTGTGAGAGTTCTTAATTATTCATGCATGGGGAAGTTGTTGAATAATTCCACAGTTCCTTTGGCTAGATTTCTCTTGGTTACCATTTTGCTTATTCAGTGGTGACTATGGAAACAGTTTCCTCAACAACGCCCTACTTGGGCCTCCACTATTCTGTGAATGTCTATTATCAATAAAATGCACACCCTTTTTGTGGTCAACGTTAGTTTCGAATGCAAGACAACAAAACTCAACTAGACTTATTTAAGGGATAAAAAAGCAATGATGTGTAATAAGATTTCATATCCTTGCTAACCTATAGTCATGTTGCATTTAAAGTACAATCTAACGCAGCAAACTCTTCATTATTTAGACCAGAAAATCAGCGCTTCTGTACACTCTTTCTCTTTATTTTTGAGGTCAGTGCACAACTTAATGAGCTGTGTTTTTGTAGGATGCTTTTAGATATCAGTTCTTAATATCAGACAGTCAAAATAGACTTAACTATTTTCTATTTTAGCTTTGTTTACAATTTACTATATATATTCAGGTCTGAAGTATTGTCCAGATCAGGGGTGCTCAAACTTTTGAAACCGAGGGCCAGGTTACAGTCCCTCAAACTGTTGGAGGGCAGGATTATAATTTGAAAAAAACATGAATGAATTCCTATGCACACTGCACATTTCTTATTTGTAGTGCGAAAACATTTTAAAATAATACAATAATTAGAAAGAAGAACAATTTTAACAAATATAAGTTTATGAGTATTTCAATGAGAAGTGTGGACCTGCTTTTGGCTGATGAGATAGGAATGTTGTTGTTGTTGTGTTCTTTCAAGTCATTTCAGACCCTGAGCGAGGGCCGGGCAAATGACCTTGGAGGGCCGTATCCAGCCCCCGGGCCTTAGTTTGGGGACCCCTGGTCCAGATGTTTAAAAGCTGAACAATAATTTTCTCAGTTCAGTTGCCCCTCAACAAAGCACTTGGCCATTGTATATATGTGTGTATGAACCTTCAAGTCACTTGTCAACTTATAGTGGCCCTGTGGGTTCACAGGTTTATTTTTTAAAAGGAATCCTCAAAGATCATTTCCACAGTTTAGTCCTGTGAAATCCAACCTACAGCGCATGGTACATATTGTTTCTTTGTTGCACCCCAGTTGGATCAGACAGTGTCTTGTTTTTAGGTCTGTCTTGAGCTGCAAGGACTCAGGGATGCCAAAGTGCATCTGCCATCGTGCTGTGTCATGCAGCAGACTTTGTGGTTGTGTTCTGTTGTTTATAATCCCAGTGAGAGACAGAGAGAGAAATAGACGAGAAAACAAATGATCTTTGTATATAAACCTAGTTCTGGATGAGTCATCAGTAAAACAAAGTTTTAAGCTATGAGTCATATGTTTTTCCAAGATTATGGTGAACCGAGAGAAAAAATGCATTCAGCAGTTGTAAAGGATTCCTATAAGTTGAAGAGCAATTGTAGACTAGAAGGAAATCTACTTTTGTTAAGTTCAAAAAGATGTTCAACATTTGTCTATATTTCCTGCCACACTTTGAATTATATGTTATAGAGGTGGATAGAGAATGTGATCGAAAACTTTTCTTTTTGGCAGCAGTTCTATGATTCTGAGAATATGCAGTTCACCTTTTCTGTAATAGATTCAGATGCATGTAAAATGAGAAATTAGTCAGCCTGCCTCTCTTGTTTTGCTTTCAGTTGAACATGCTTTTCAGAGGAGTACTTTAGCAGAAGTTGAATATAAAGATAAAACAGAGTTGGTGGGAGAAATGTAGCTAGAATAGTAATGTTTCAATTAATAGGTCAGGATTTTGACCCGAAGTTCTACGAAATTGAAGGATTATGCTGATTGTTTTTTAAATAATTGCCTTAGTTTCATGGCCCTGTTGCCAAATCATTTGAAAGTGATTAAACAGCTTTAGTTGTAAACTGCCTGCTTATAAAGGCATCAGAGCCTCTTATGGATTTAGTGCAAAGCCCACAGGGTCTATCTGAAGTGGGTAAAATATGAAACTAATTGGGATTTCTTAAATTTTCATAAGTTCATTTATAAGCAAACTTAGAGCTGCTAGCAAATTTAAGCTAACAGTTTTTCATATGAATGAATCATTACATGAATGACAGATGAGTTATACTGTTGTATTTGTAAATTAGATATGGCAAATTTGAATGCAGCTCCTATATATTTGTTTCCAGAGAAACTTTGAGCAACCCTTTTATTATTATTTATTCCCCGTATTTGTATCCCGTCACTTCTCAACCCCCGAAGGGGGACTCAGGATGGCTTACAATGTGCCCCGTTACAAGGCCAGTACATGACAATTACAATAATAAAATCACAAGTTACAGTGTTTATATGTGGCTTTCATATTTGAAATGCTACTGGAGCAATACAAGATTGTGAACATGAACCATACAGCTCAAGTTATATTAATGGCAATGATATAGCTTAAGTACCATAATAACGGATTGCTAACATTGACAATGCACTGTTTTTGAAACAAGTTACTCCATTGTTCTATTTTAATTTACAGATTGATTATTTTGAGTCTTTTAAAGTTAAAAATCTCTGAAATCTTTTTAAAAATGAAAGATGAAATATTATACTGTTTAAAAAATACATTTGCAATTAGGCATAAAAGCATAAGGTTTTATAAATGAGAACAAGATCCCTACCATCCATTGATTTGTTTCCAGAAGACAATATTCCAGTTACTTTGAAAGTTCAGTGACAGAACGTCCCATGTTACAGTTTCAAATGCTGCCTCTATACATAGAGGCTTCCCTTCTTTTAATAACTGATGTAATTGAAATAAGAAATTGCAGGTTTACACTTCACATGATCACCATTGGAGTTAATGGCATTTCTGAATCATTTAACACTTCTGTGTACCCATTCTTGACAAGCACTTACCAGAAAAATGTGTTGTTAAACTGATTCCACCCTAAGTAGGAATGCACAGTCTAACTGAAAAGTTATTTTAAAGATTATCTTAAGATGTAGATAATTCAATATCTTGCCTGACTGACAGTTATATAAGTGCTTCTGTTGTTTTGTGTGACTTCCAGTTTAGAAGGCAGGTCCTTGTCATGTTCTGTATTGTGTTAATTTGTATAGATTACTAAATGAACTGTATTGTGGCAAATTGAGCTGGTTTGATGTAGTAGAAACAGATGTCTTAACTCTAGTTATAGTTAAAACCCATAGGTTTGGATCCAGACCTGGGACATAGACTCCCCCTCTTGCCATGACAGCTCTCTAAAAATTATACACAGTATCTTTGGGGTTGGTGTGGAAGCAAGTGGGGATGCCTTGAAATTGGACAGAGGCACCTTCTGTAGGCAAAACAATTATCATCTACAGGAGGAAAATCCTAGATTTAGCCCATTCTGAAAAAAAAACATTAACACATTGTTTTCTTCCATAGAAAATAATCTTAATATGATTTTTTTAATTATCTTACAGGATATTAATGCCCATGCCTGTGTCACAGGAAAGCCAATCAGCCAGGGTGGCATACATGGCCGCATCTCTGCTACAGGTCGTGGAGTCTTCCACGGAATTGAGAACTTCATTAATGAAGCATCGTATATGAGCCTCTTGGGAATGACTCCAGGATTTGGGGATAAGACATTTGCTATCCAGGTACTGTGTTTAGAAAATTTGGAAATGCATCTCTGCAGTGTATCCTGTGGCTTGGTCCTGGTTTTTCAAACAAAAGTCCCAGCCAGGCATTTTAAAAGGCTTCCTAGTGCACGAATAGGATTATACACAAAAGTTGGTTAAAAGCACAGAAGAACACTGTTTTAGGTAACTGTATGCAGAAATGTTGCCAGGGCATTTACTGTAGGTTATTTTAATAATGAGTTTAATAGGGTAATGTAAGAACACACTATTTGTGGTTTTTCTATACATTATAACTGTTTTCTCAATTTGCCTCTGACATGATAAATACAATAAATTATGAGAACAATTCAACTAATTAAAGCAAGATCATGCCACTTCATTTGTAGTGGGGCATTTGTAGTGCACCTACCGGACTGTTCCTATTAGGCCATATGTTACTATAGAGCAGTGGTTCCCAACCTTTGGGCCTCCAGGTGATTTGGACTTCAGCTTCCACAATTCCTGACACCTGATAAGCTGGGAGTTCAAATCCAAAACACCTGGAGGCCCAAAGGTTGGGAACCACTGGTATAGAGGCTTACTTCTCTTTCTTCCTCACCCCTAAGACCTTTTATGTTACATCAGATATGAACAAACACATAGGAACTGACTGATTCTGTAGTCTGTATAGTGCTTAGAGAATATGCGTGTGCTTTATGAAGAATAAGACATATCTAACCCCCGGTGGCGCAGTGGGTTAAAGTGCTGAACTACTGAGCTTGTTGACCGAAAGGTTGCAGGTTAGAATCCGGGGAGCTGCGTGAGCTTCTGCTGTCAGCCCCAGCTTCTGCCAACCTGCAAATGTGAAAACATGCAAATGTGAGTAGATCAATAGGTACCACTCTAGCAGGAAGGCAACGGCACTCCATGCAGTCATGCTGGCGACATGACATTGTAGGTGTCTATGGACAATGCCGGCTCTTCGGCTTAGAAATGGAGATGAGCACCACACCCCAGAGTCGAACACCGCATTTCATGTCAGGGGAAAACCTTTACCTACCTTTACCTATACAATTTTATATCTCAGTTTGAGGAACTGCCAACTGAATGATTGGGCTACATGGGTTCACCCCTGTGTACAAATAGACCCCTCATGTTCAAGTTATAGAGAATGCGCAATCCATCATAGTGATCAAAAATTCCACTTTCCTAACTCTTACTAGACAAAACAAAAAAGCACTTTTGTTTCTAATCTAACATTCAACAATGTGTATTAGGTGGGCATGCAGAATGGCTAAATAAGTCCAATTTCCCACTTCGTTCATAGATATCATATTAGATGCATACACTGAACGTAGGCTCCAGTAAAGGCTGTGCTACTTCTTGGTCTGAGGGAGAATTCTGTCTTCTGCAGTTAGCTAGACTAGAGACCAGAATCCATGACTTTGCTTGTTTGCTGATGTGCTTTATTGGGAGCTTTGTAGTGCTCCCAAATTACTGTTACTATAATTGATAGGTATTGCTACTAAAAATGTACTAATGAGGTCTGCCAAAACATTCCGACATTGGCTGATGCTTCAAGTTGAGGAAGGAAGACTGTTCTGAAGAAAGGCTGCACCCTCTGCCAATATTCAAAATGCCGATGTTGCCAGAACTGAAACAGGACGGGCCTGCATCTTGTCTTTTAAAATAGCAAAGTGCTATTTTATGTGCTAATTCATTCGAATAATATGTGTAAACTGTTCTACTGATGCAGTTTTATTTGCATTACATGAAGATAGTTTGGCACTAACATCTACAATTGCTGTCCAGAATTTTATATCTCATTCACTTTGGGGAGGTCCTGGACTGTCTTGCTTCCAACTGGAAGGATTTTGAATATAAAGAAAAAAATACAAAGCAATTGTTTTCATAGATTTTTTTTTAAAAAAAACCCAGTTTCCTTGCTATAATACAGCAATACCCTACATCTTTATCTTCAAACCAGATGAGATCTTCGAGCCACTAACATAGCAAAGCATACCATGATCCAGCCTTTCCTAACTCTGTACTTTCCAGATGAAGTGATCTACAACTTCTAATATCTAAAGTTGTATTAGGAACTGGAGTCAAAGATATCTCGGGGATGTTAGAAGCAGGTCTGTGCAAAATATCAGCATCTGCCTGGGTTTTATTTTATTTATTTATTTATTTATTTATGACATTTATATGCTGTATAAGCTGAGAGTGGGAAATTCAGCAGCTACTGGTCAATTTCAAATTAAATATAGATACCAATACACTCCTGACACGACCAAAAAAACCAATACAATTACATTAATTGAGGCATCAGTAGATTATTTTTTTTTGAATATTTACATAGAATTGTAATATAAGATAAAACTGTCCAACTCAGATTAAATCATTATTCTCATCTTCTTCAATGTAAATGTGCTTACGTATCCTTCCAATAATAGAGTAAAATAATAAATACAATAATAACAATAATAGAGTAAAACAACAAATGTAATAACAATAATAAAGTAAAATAATAAATGTAATAATAATAGAGTAAAATGATAAATATAGTAATAATGAATAGAGTAAAATAATAAATGTAATAATAATAATAATAATAATAATAATAGAATAAAATAATAAATAACCTTGACTCGAGTATAAGCCAAGGGGGACTTTTTCAGCCTAAAAAAGGGCTGAAAAACTAGGTGTATACTCGAGTATATACAGTATATATACATATACATACACATACACACACACATACATACACACACATACATAATATTTTAAATTATTAGCATAGTACAATATCAGAATTTTATATTACTATATTGTACTACACCATTATATTGTAATATTAGTAATATTACATATAGTATAAAATATATCATTATAGTATTATATTGTATTACATTATAATATTATAAATATTATATGTATATACAATATATTATATTTTAAGCAGAAGTTAGATTGTTAGGGGATTGTTGAATTGTACTCCCAACACATCTGGATACTATTGGTTTGGAGAAGGCAGCAATGTACACAGTATAATGTCCTTTCTTCTGTTGAACAAATCTCTCTATTTGTGGCAGCAACTGTAGTTACATTAAATGCATTTTCTTCTCTTAACAGGGCTTTGGCAACGTAGGTCTGCATTCTATGAGATACCTTCATCGCTATGGTGCAAAATGTGTTGCCATTGGAGAAAAGGATGGTGCTATCTGGAATCCTGATGGACTTGACCCCAAAGAGCTGGAAGATTACAAATTGGTATGAAAAAGTGTTCCTCTATTAAACATGTTTCATTGCCAAGTTGCATAGTAAAAGCAAGTTACATCTTTCCAGTAGGGAACAGATTACAGTGGCCATGTTGGTGGCCATTGTGATCAGTACAGCTGAAACTGTAGAAAATGCTATGGAAAAGAACAGTTTAAGATGATTCATGTGAGGCGAGTTCCCTGTTCTGATTTGGCTTACTGAGACGAGACACGACGAAAGAAATGCGTATGAGGCCTAAATAGGGTAGAAAATGAAAGACAAAACTTTGCTTGCATTTCACCACTATTCAGCATTTTTTTACTCATTACTTTGTCGTTTAGAGCTTCACCTCTGTAGCAGAAAACAGGCTTAGTGTTAGGAAACAACAATAACATTCAGGAGCAGAAATTGCATAGTATTTCAAATGGATATGAAAAGAACACTTACTTGCTATTAAAAAGATTACCCTTAACTCCTTTTTAGTGCTGCTAAGAAAGATAGGAAAGAAAAATTAATCAAGAGATTCACATCATACCTGCAGGGTTTTAATAGGGCTTATTGACACCCCCCCCCTTTTTTTTAAGAGTATAGATCCGTGTTGTGTCAAAATATCATTCATAGTGAAAAAAGGAACCATTAGGCTTTGAGGGAAGTCTCAGGCTTGCAGAAATCCTTCAGCAACTATTGTGGCACCATAATCACAATAAGGACTTGAATGTACTCAGTGATCACACAATTTTTGGTATTAAAAAAACTGAGATGAAGAAGAACCAAAACAAATATTCTAATGAAGGGAAAGCATACTCAATGGAAGCAGAATGTAGAATCATAGAATATAATCAAAGAGTTGGAAGAGACCTCATGGTCCATCCAGTCCAACCCCCTGCCAAGAAGCAGGAATATTGCATTCAAATCACCCCTGACAGATGGCCATCCAGCCTCTGTTTAAAAGCTTCCAAAGAAGGAGCCTCCACCACACTCCGGGGAAGAGAGTTCCACTTCTGAACGGCTCTCACAGGAAGTTCTTCCTCATGTTCAGATGGAATCTCCTTTCTTGTAGTTTGAAGCCATTATTTCACGTTCTAGTCTCCAGGGAAGCAGAAAACAAGCTTGCTCCCTCCTTCTGGCTTCCTCTCACATATTTATACATGGCTATCATATCTCATCTCAGCCTTCTCTTCTTCAGGCTAAACATGCCCAGCTCCTTAAGCCGCTCCTCGTAGGGCTTGTTCTCCAGACCCTTGATCATTTTAGTCGCCCTCCTCTGGACACATTCCAGCTTGTCAATATCTCTCTTGAATTGTGGTGCCCAGAATTGGACACAATATTCCAGGTGTGGTCTAACCAAAGCAGAATAGAGCATTACTTCCCTAGATCTAGACACTATGTGTTGTCTGAGAGTAAGAATGAATCATTGGGGAGAAAGCAGTAGAGTACCATACCTTGGAAAAGGAAATGTCTGGTCAAACAGGAACCTACACAGAAGTACTATGCACTGCCATATTGTCTTGCAGGTTTCCCTTACAGACTTGCATTTGAAGAATGATTACAGAAAGTGTAGCTTTATATATGCTGTTCAGACATAGAATACTAGCATAAGATCGCTGAACTTGAAACTTGTATCCTGGGAAAATACACGGACGCAGCTAAATCCTTTTGTCCAAACAGCAACATGGATCAATCCTCACCTACCCGAAGGCACAACCCTTGGATTGCCACATCTTGGAAGCAGATTGTGACATCCTCATCCCAGCTGCCAGTGAGAAGCAGTTAACAAAGGCCAATGCCCATAAGGTCAAAGCAAAGGTAAGAAGACACATTGTAAATTGTATTTTCTCTCTTTTGATAGTATTGTGTTAATATAAGCTGTTCAATACTAAATTATGATCTCTCATTTTCAGATAATTGCAGAAGGTGCCAATGGACCCACAACTCCAGAAGCAGATAAAATCTTCTTGGAACGAAATATCATGGTTATTCCAGTAAGTTTCTCGTCCGCTCGGTGTTAAACTTGTAACAGGTTATATTTGAATATTGGTGGTCCAGTTATCTAGCTCAGAACTTCTTAGACTTTTTCAATTTGTGACTCTATGTGGGGATGTCTGTGAAGGCGGCCCAGAAACTTCAACTTGTGCAAAGATTGGCTGCCAAGCTTCTAACTGGAGCTAATTATGGAGCGCATACGACACCTCTATTAAAGCAGCTCCACTGGCTGCTGATCAGGTTCCCGTCCCAATTCAAAGTGCACATCATCACCTACAAGGCCCTAAACGGTTCGGACCCCACCTATCTTCACAACCTCATTTCCCCCTATGAACTGGCACTGGCTCTAAGATCCACCGGGGAGGCACTTCTCCCACTTCTCACAAGCACAGTTGGTGCGGATGAGGGGAGAGGTCCTTCTCGGTGGTGGCCCCCGACTTTGGAACTCCCTCCCCAGGGAGATTAGGCAACCCTCACACTGTCTACTTTTCGCAGAGAGCTGAAAACTTTGATGTTTCAGCAAGCATTCTCGAATGCTTTGCCCCATTTATAAATGCCCAGTCTCTAGTTAACCAGATAGGACTTTGCTCTCTTTACCCACCCAATTCCATAGCACTATAGTTTTGCTGTTTGCACTTTCCCATGCCCAGGCCTTTAGATAGCCAGTTCTTGCCTATTTTAGTAGCCCTGGTTCCTGGATCTGGATTTGATTACTGATTGGATGGAGTTTTAATGCTACTGTTCTACACTTTTATGTCCATTTACTTTGTTTTTAACTGGACTAATGCTCTATTGATTATATTCTTACTTTAATTTGTGTTTTGTTTGATGGATTGTTTTTAATTGTCTTATCGACATTTGGTCCCATGTAAGTCACCCCAAATCCTTTTGGGGAGATGGTGGCAGGGTATAAGAATAAAGTTATTATTATTATTATTATCATCATCATCATCATCATCATCTGGCCCTATGAAGTAGCATGATATGGCGTCTTGTTTAACATATACCTTTTTGCCAGCATTTTATTTAGCTCATTTTCCGGTCCCAATTCAAGGTGCAGGTGCTCACCTACAAAGCCCTAAACGGTTTGGGACCTGCCTACCTGTGTGACCGCATCTCTGTTTATGAACCCGCACGCTCTCTTTGTTCATCTGGAGAGGCCCTGCTCACGATTCCACCTGTGTCGCAAGCGCGGTTGGTGGGGACGAGGGACAAGGCCTTCTCTGTGGTAGCCCCCCGACTCTGGAACGCCCTCCCCAAGGACATCAGACAGGCCCCTACATTGGCAGTCTTTAGGAAGAGCTTGAAGACTTGGCTATTCCGGTGTGCCTTTCCAGAATAGGAAACCCCAGCAATATGTCCCAGAAGCACTTTACTAGAGACTTAAGATTGTCYGCACATTGTACKTACCCAAAAATCCTTATATTTCAACTGTCATACTCAGCACTTTTAATCTGTACCCATTTACACTTGGCCCGGCCTTAGTTTTATTGTGCTATGGTGTACTGTTTTTACTGTTTCCTGTTATTGCTTTAATGTTTTGATTTGCTTTATGGTTTATGTGTATTGTTGTATTGTTGTTTTATTGAGGCCTTGACCTTTGTAAGCTACATCGAGTCCTTCGATAGCGGGGTACAAATAAAGATAATAATAATAATAATAATAATAATAATAATAATAATAATAATAAATGCTATAAATGTTTTTCTTCTGCCTAATAAACATATTTTTCCAAATAACTTTTTCCCAGTTTTGAAAGTTGGATTAATTTATCTTTCATGTGGTTTTCAATCCTAAATGTTGTTCTACCTTGTCGTCTTCAGGATCTTTATTTAAATGCTGGTGGAGTGACTGTGTCTTACTTTGAGTGGCTGAAGAACCTGAATCATGTCAGTTATGGTCGGTTGACCTTTAAGTATGAAAGGGACTCTAACTACCACTTGCTAAGTAAGTCTAAACAAGTTACGTTCATATTATACAGAATGGGTCAGGCATTGTACTAGACATGCTAACATAAAACAAGGAGTTTTAAGTTTCCCAACCTGTTATGTAGAAACTGTAATTCTTGTATGGGTGAACGAAATGCCTAGAAAATATATTGTTCAGAACTCCTAGAAATGCAGACTCTGTTCTGTGGTGGAAAATGTATTCATGTGTTTTCCTGCTTCTTGGCAGGGGTTGGACTGGATGGCCCATGAGGTCTCTTCCAACTCTATGATTCTATGAATGTTGCTGCATTCTGTGTTAAGCTTTGGCATAGACTTAAAAGAGATAATCTCTTAACTTGCTTCAAAGTTCAGTTACATCTGGAATTTTAGTGGCAATAGAGTGACTAGAACATACATAAAGTTTTTTAAAGCATTCTTAAGTATGTAACGAAATCTTTGTTCTTTGTTCAATAGTAAGTGCACACTTATTAAGGAAAAATATTAGAACACATTAGCATTAATTTGTAAATGAACACAGATTTGTTGAATTATAAATGTCAGAAATTATGTAATCAGGGAATTGTTTCAGACTTATCCATCTTTAGAATAGATATTCTGAAGCCAAGGGGCTTTAAATTATTCACTATTTTAATTTTATATTCTCAGCACAATTAACTTCAGATCCAGTCTCGTGTCAATAGTAACTGAGCTTCACTAGCTGTTTTTCCTTTTAGTGTCGGTCCAGGAAAGTTTGGAAAGAAAGTTTGGGAAGCATGGTGGGAGTATTCCAGTTGTGCCTACTGCAGAATTCCAGGACAGGATATCTGTAAGTAGTCATCTAATGATTTTACCAAAGTTAGAATCCGATTAAAAAAAAGAACAGGTTTGGTCAGTGATTACAACAGATAAAAGATACTAATCTGTGGGAACAAGTTGCATCATTTTAATAGTAAATGAAAGGTATATATCCAGAATATAATGGCAGAAAACATTAGTGCTAAAATGTAAAAACAGACAAAAACATCTAAAAAATTTATCAATACAGGTTAAAGATAATTATTATAAGTTAATATAGAAATGGTACCTAACACGAGTAATAATAGCAAATATAAATTTATTTATTTATTTATTTACTTACAACTTTTATATTCCGCCCTTCTCACCCCGCAGGGAATTCCCTTTTGTCTCATTATACAACTAGGAGCCCCCGGTGGCGCAGTGGGTTAAACCCTTGTGCCGGCAGGACTGAAGACCGACAGGTCGCAGGTTCGAATCCGGGGAGAGGCGGATGAGCTCCCTCTATCAGCTCCAGCTCCTCATGCGGGGACATGAGAGAAGCCTCCCACAAGGATGATAAAAAACATCAAATCATCCAGGCGTCCCCTGGGCAACGTCCTTGCAGACGGCCAATTCTCTCACACCAGGAGTCACTCCTGACACAACGAATATGGCAAACATTCAGTGCCGATTTTTGACATACAAACATATACAGATATACACAGAGGCTATTTAACTTTTTCTGGCTGCCAGGGGATCTGTCGCTTTAATCGTCCATCTGTGATGCTGATGAAGCACTTCCGCATTCCCCGCATGCTTCCTCACTGGAATGCTTTGCTGGAGTCTTCTAAATAAAAACAATTCAAAAAATTGCTGGAGAGGATGTCAAGAATCAGGAACATATATACATATGTGGTGGCAATGTAAATATGTAAATAATTTTGGGGGAAAGTATTTAGAGAAATGGAGCCCCCGGTGGCGCAGTGGGTTAAAGCACTGAGCTGCTGAGCTTGTTGATCGAAAGGTCGAAGGTTCGATTCCGGGGAGCGGCGTGAGCTTCCGCTGTCAGCCCTAGCTTCTGCCAACCTAGCAGTTCGAAAACATGCAAATGTGAGTAGATCAATAGGTACCGCTCCGGCGGGAAGGTAACAGTGCCTCCATGCAGTCATGCCGGCCACATGACCTTGGAGGTGTCTACGGACAACGCTGGCTCTTCGGCTTAGAAATGGAGATGAGCACCACACCCCAGAGTCAGACATGACTGGACTTAATGTCAGGGGACAACCTTTACCTTTTTATTTAGAGAAATAGAAGACATAATGAACATTAAAATAGAAAGAAGTTCTAGTATAGCTTTATTATCATTATATAATAATAAACAATTGAAAAAAGAGGATAAAGATGTGATAACAAATTTGTTAACAATAGCAAGACTGCTTATAGCAAGGAATTGGAAAAGAGAAATCAATATACAAATAGAGGAGTGTTATAAGGAAGTATGGAAATTGGCAATAAATGATAAGCTGACATGTATATTAAAAATTAAAAGAGGTATATGGAAACGAAGTGATTTTGATGATGTATGGAGAAAATTTATTGAAAAAGGATTAAAAATAAAGAAGGAAAGTTACCTCCACAAGAAGAATTGAAATTTTGGACAGATGATTTGTAAAAGCCGTGGCTTGGGAGGGGGAGAGGGGAGCACAGTGGTGATGGATAGATAGTATGTATGACCAGAAAAATAACAGTAGATGTCAAAAGTTAAAGTATGGTAGGTTGTATTGAATAATATGTATCTGCTGTAAAACAAACAATGTATAACAAATGTATTGAACCATGATAAAATAATTTATATATATATATATATATATATATATATATATATATATATATAAAATGTAAAAACTGGATACAATTACAGGTTTTTGAAAACTTTTCTATTCAGGACCCGTTTTTGGCCTGATCAATTTTTACGTGAGCTCAGATATAAAATCAAACGTTTGCTGATAACAGATCAGCATTTAGAACATTGAACTGAGGGGACCCCATTTTGGATCAGGGCCCACAGTTTAAGAAGCAGTGATAAAGTGCATACTGAACATATAGTCCTCAAAGCTAGTATTGTATTTAGCTATTCTCATCCAGTATTAATTAGGCCAAGTTCATGCATTGAGTCTGTAGTTGGAAAGAGATTGACTACTGATGGCGATTCCTTCAATACAGGGTGCATCCGAAAAAGACATTGTACATTCTGGCTTGGCCTACACCATGGAACGTTCTGCTAGGGTAAGTGTTGCACCAACATGGAATAGTAGTCTTTATGTTTAATAGTATAGGCCCTTATTGGGAGAAATTGTGGGCTATAATTATTATTATTATTAGTAGTAGTAGTATATAGTAGTCATGTAAATACCCCCCTCCCAGCTCCCACTATTTATTTATCGTGTCAGGCAACCGAACAGTTGTATTACATTTTACACAGAACAAACAAACAAACATACAAAAAACAGAGTTTGCAAGCTTGGTAGTTGATTAAATGTCTTTTGACCAGTATCTGGCCACTTGGAGTGCCTCTGGTATTGCTGCAAGAAGGTCCTCCATTGTGAATGTAGCAGGGCTCAGGTTGCCTTGCAGCAGGTGGTCAGTGGTTTGCTCTTCTCCACACTCGCATGTGGATGATTCCACTTTGTAGCCCCATTTTTGAAGGTTGGCTCTGCATCTCGTGGTGCCAGAGCGCAGTCTGTTCAGCGCCTTCCAAGTCACCCATTTTTTTGTGTGCCCAGGGGGGAGTCTCTCATTGGTTATCACCCATTAATTGAGGCTCTGGGTTTGAGCCTGCCACTTTTGGACTCTCGCTTGCTGAGGTGTTCCAGCGAGTGTCTCTGTAGATCTTACAAAACTATTTCTTGATTTAAGTCGTTGACGTGCTGGCTGATACCCAAACAAGGGATGAGCTGGAGATGTCACTGCCTTGGTCCTTTCACTATTGGCTGCTACTTCCCGGCGGATGTCAGGTGGTGCAATACCGGCTAAGCAGTGTAATTTCTCCAGTGGTGAAGGGCGCAGACACCCCATGATAATGCGGCATGTCTCATTAAGAGCCACATCCACTGTTTTAGTGTGGTGAGATGTGTTCCACACTGGGCATGCGTACTCAGCAGCAGAGTAGCATAGCGCAAGGGCAGATGTCTTCACTGTGTCTGGTTGTGATCCCCAGGTTGTGCCAGTCAGCTTTCGTATGATATTGTTTCTAGCACCCACTTTTTACTTGATGTTCAGGCAGTGCTTCTTGTAGGTAAGAGCACGGTCCAGAGTGACTCCCAGGTATTTGGGTGCGCTGCAATGCTCCAGTGGGATTCCTTCCCAGGTGATCCTCAGAGCTCGGGATGCTTGTCTGTTCTTAAGGTGAAAGGCACATGTCTGTGTTTTAGATGGATTAGGGATCAGCTGGTTTTCCCTGTAATAGGCAGTAAGAGCACCTAGAGCTTCAGAGAGCTTCTGTTCAACCATCTCAAAGCTCTCTGCTTGAGCAGTAATGACACGATTATCAGCTCTCACTGAACCACATAAATCATGAGTATTTCTTGTGTATATTGAATAGGGGCTTAGTAAATGTCTTCCTTCATAAATATTATTGCTTCTGACTTTTAATATGTTTGTGTTCTTTAGCAAATCATGCGTACTGCGATGAAGTACAATCTAGGCCTAGACCTGAGAACCGCTGCCTACGTCAATGCCATTGAGAAGGTTTTCAAGGTGTACAATGAAGCCGGCCTGACCTTCACATAAATGGATAGCCTGCCTTCGCCTGACAGCCTCTCGTGTGCCCTCTTCAGAAAGCTTATGACAAGTTTACATATAACCACAGACGTCCCTCTCATCTTTTCTCATAACTGTAGTGTAGATAATTCTCTGTTAACTACGGTTCAAACTAGTCCTCCCTTTTTCTAACAAAGTGAAAAGAAATCCACTGATTTAGGGCTTCGTGCCAAGAGATATTGTAGATAACCAGTTCATCTGCACTTGGTGGGGCCGGGGGTATTAGGGTTTTTTTTTTCACCTTGAGATTTAAAAAGGTACCTTTTTATTGTATGGATCTGTGGTCTTGCCACAATAAGCAACCCAGAAATGCTTCATATCACACATATAACTGTGTACCTTTGGAGAAACAGCTTAACTCTTCATGCACTTTGGTTTCAGAAAATAATGTAACTCTCTTAGCTTTGGCACTTTTGATTAAGGCCTTGGATGTTCAATGCAGTGGCATTATCGAAGACAGAACGGGCCTTCTGCAGGGAATAACGTCAATAGGATTCTCATTTTTACACTTAACCGAACCGTTGGCCTGGTTCACGTTAGGCAATGTGTGTTTCTTTTTGTAATCTGTGCTCCTTTTACAAGGCTGCCTTTAAATCATGTACTCAGTCTCAGTTTTACTACAGTGTGCACATATAAAACGATGTGTTCCGGGAGTTAGTATTTTTATAAAACGAAGCAGTATCATTGTTGTACAGACGTCCAATGAAAATGACTTGTTTATCCTTGACTATCCATTTTCCTTGCATGTTTGTTAAAGAATAGCCCTTACTTGAGCATCACGTTAGGTAGTCCAAAGAATTTATGTCACTCTTCAGTCATATCATGTGTTTTAATTTCTGAGGTGTTTTAGCGTTAGCTATTACCTCCGAGAACAATTCAAGCAGAAGTAATCATTGGCAGCAAGAGGGCAGGCTTCTTTTTTGCTATGAACTGCATAGGGTCTTAACATTTTGATTTTCTACACCCTTCATTTGGAAATTTTCCGTATTCTGACCATAAACGATTTAATAAAGAAGGCCTTGAAGCAAAAATTGGATCACATGGTTATTATAGGGGATTTTTGACAAGAATCTTTGTCTGGAAGAGTCCTATAAAGTGCCCGGATATATTTATGTAATGAATATGAATGTTTTGTTTTTTAAAAAACAAATACAAGCCCTCCCAGAAGCTCATGCTTTTTTTCTAGCTACTTTGTAACTCATGACATAACATGACAACAAAAGCAATTATTAAAAGTTGACTTTCCAAAAGTACGTTGATGTGTGTGTTTTTATAGGTGGGTTGTTGTAGGTTTTTTCGGGCTATATGGCCATGGTCTAAACAGGGGTCCTCAAACTTTTTAAACAGAGGGCCAGGTCATAGTCCCTCAAACTGTTGGAGGGCCGGATTATAATTTAAAAAAAAAAACATGAATGAATTCCTATGCACACTGCACATATCTTATTTGTAGTGCAAAAAACACTTTAAATAATACAATAATTAAAATGAAGAACTATTTTAACAAATATAAACTTAGCAGTTTAGAATAAATATAAACCTAGCAGTTTGAAAACATGCAAATGTGAGTAGATCAATAGATACCGCTCCGGCAGGAAGGTAACGGCGCTCCATGCAGTCATGCCGGCCACATGACCTTGGAGGTGTCTATGGACAACACCGGCTCTTCGGCTTAGAAATGGAGATGAGCAGCAGAGTCCCAGAGTCGGACATGACTGGATTTAAGGCCTCCCCCCCTTTTCCTGCCTCCGGGATGCATCCAGGATGCTTCCCGAAGGGAGGAGAGGCTGGGCCCACGGAGGCGACGGGCAAAGCAGGCCCAAGGCGCTTTGCCCGTCGCCTCCCCCCCTCCTTCCTCCGGGATGCATCCAGGATGCTTCCCGAAGGGAGGAGAGGCTGGGCCCACGGAGGCGACGGGCAAAGCAGGCCCAAGCCGCTTGCCCGTCGCCTCCCCCCCTCCTTCCTCCGGGATGCATCCAGGATGCTTCCCGAAGGGAGGAGAGGCTGGGCCCACGGAGGCGACGGGCAAAGCAGGCCCAAGGCGCTTTGCCCGTCGCCTCCCCCCCTCCTTCCTCCGGGATGCATCGATGCTTCCCGAAGGGAGGAGAGGCTGGGCCCACGGAGGCGACGGGCAAAGCAGGCCCAAGGCGCTTTGCCCGTCGCCTCCCCCCCTCCTTCCTCCGGGATGCATCCAGGATGCTTCCCGAAGGGAGGAGAGGCTGGGCCCACGGAGGCGACGGGCAAAGCAGGCCCAAGGCGCTTTGCCCGCCGCCTCCCCCTCTTTGCCCACCACCTCCCTCCCCCTTCCCCTGCCTCTCACCCTTCTCCACAGCCCACGGGCCGGATAGATGCCCTCGGGGGGCCCGATCCGGCCCACGGGCCGTAGTTTGGGGACCCCTGGTCTAGAGGCATTCTCTCCTGATGTTTATCTGCATCTATGGCAAGCATCCTCAGAGGTAGTGAGGTCTGTTGGAACTAGGAAAATGGGTTTTATATCTGTGGAACTAGGAAAGTGGGTTTATATATCTGTGTTTTTTATAACTTTCCACAGTAACATGGAAGAGCACTTTATTAATCTGAAACTCAAGTTTTTCTAGTTTTAGAAAAAAACAAAATAAACATAGGATTCATAGCTTTAATTTTCATACAGATTTAAAATAATATATTATATGCAAAACAATCGAAATGAATTTTCAGTGATTTGAAGATCTTGAGCATTGTACTCTGTCTTTCAATATACAGAAAAAGGATTTAGGTTGAAGCATTCTTTTCTTCACTCTGACCAAAGAGATTCAGACCTCGTGTCGGCTTTTCTCCAGCATCTTGTACATTATTTTCTTCCTTCTGACCAAAGAGATTTAGACCCCACGTTGGCTTTTCTCCGGCATCCTGTACATTATTTTCTTCCCTCTGACCAAAGAGATTTAGACCTCTCGTCGGCTTTTCTCCAGCATCTTGTACATTCTTTTCTTCCCTCTGACCAAAGGGATTTAGGCTTCGTGTCGCCTTTTCTCCAGAACCTTGTGCATTCTTTTCTTCACTCTGACCAAAGGGATTTAGGCTTCGTGTCGCCCTTTCTCCAGCATCTTGTACATTTTTGCAGGCATCATCATAAGCTTAAAATCAAAAAGAGAAATGGTTTATTAGTTGACTAGTTGCACTCGCCATGCGTTGCTGTGGCCAACCTTCCCTCCCTCTTTCTCTCCTCCCTTCCCTCTTTCCTTCCTTTCCTCTTTTTCTTTCCCTATCTCTCATCTTTCTTCCATCTCTACCTGTTTCTTTCCTCCCTTTCTTTGCTCTTTGGTTACATCCTTCCTTCCTTCCTTCTCTATCTTTCGTTCCTTCTCTCCTTCCTTCCCTCTCTTTTTCCTTTCACTTTTTTATTTCCTTCTCTCCTTCCTTGCTTCTCTATCTTTCTTTCTTTTCTTCTTTCCCTCCCTGCTTCTCTTCCTTCCTTCCCTCTTTCCGTCCTTCTCTCGTTACTTCTTGACTGTCCCTTCCATTTAATATTGTATTTATATCTTAGAAAGAAGGAAAGGAAGAAGGAAGGAAGGAAGGAAGGAAAAAGGAAGGGAGGGAGGGAAAGAAGGGAAGGAAGGAAAAAAAGGAGGGACAGGAAGGGAGGAAGGAAGGAGGGAAAGAAAGGAGGGGGATGAAGAAAGGAGGGAGGGAAGGAAATGAAGGGGAAGGAAATGAAGAAAGGGAAAGGAGGAAAAGGAGGGAGGAGAAGGAAAAGAAGGAAAGGAAAAAGGAAGGAGGGACAGGAAGGAAGGGAAGGAGGGAAAGAAGGAAAGGAAGGAGAAGGAAAGAAGAAAAGGAAAGAAAGGAAAGGGAGGAAAGAAGAGAAGGGAGGGAGAGAAGGAAGGTCCTTCATTCAAGCACCGTGGACCTTCCTCGCCTCCTCCTCCTCCCCTTCTTCCTTGCGTAGAGCACTCCGTTGCTGCTGCTGGCACTTTCCAACAAGGAAAGGAGGAGGAGACTGCTCTCTTGACATAGGAGGGGAAGAGAAGGGGCTGCATGTGGCAATCCTCCATCTCCACTCGCTTGTGTGTATGTGTGTGGCCGTGCACGTGCGCCTGGCTTTAACAACCGGCTGTTTCCCCATGAGGAGGAGGAGGGGGCGTAGCCATGGGTCTCAGTAGACATGCAGTTTCTCCTTTGTGGACATGCAGTTTAGAAGTCCTTTCTGCTTTTTATTTTTGTTTTTTGAGTGGAGAACATACATTGGGTTGTTAGGGACATAGTGTCCAAATTTGGTGTCAATTGCCCCTGTGGTTTCTGAGTTCTGTGGATAGCACAAACGAACATTACATTTTTATTTATATAGATACAATATTCTGTAACCACGCGTGGTTTGATTTTGTGCAACTCCCATCACAAAATGGAAAAGCACTAACCCTGCAGTTGTGTTTTGCCTTCTGCCTTGTGGTTCTCACACTGAGTTCAACTGCTTAAAACTGCAGCTCTGGGCCTGCTGGTTGGGACTTCCTAACAACATGTAGTGGATTGGAAGGACTGTCAATGTCAAGGTTCGAAAACACTGTCCTTTAGGGCAGACGTAGAGTGAGATTAACAGTTCCGGACTTAATGCTAAGGAGGATTTTTAAGTTCTTTGGTTTGTAGAAACAACTGCCTTTTTCAGTTCTAGAAGGAAAACAACCTCAGTTCTAACGGTTGAATCGTATTTCCTGCATTCATTGCAACTTGCGTTCTGCAAGCTCAGAAGTCTCTGGATTATTAGATATCTTTTTACCTTTCTGACCAGCATCTGTCACCTGATCCACCACTTGCTGCACAGTCCGACCGGCTGAATCAACTGCAGTTACAAAAACAGAACAAAACAAGAAGCACATTAATAGAAACTATACAGTTCTCCTTTGAAGAAGGTAACCTTATCTGGAAAGGTGATCTTTTAACACAAAACCAAAGTATCAGTGTTATATATAACTGGTACGTTAAACGCTTGCATGTAAACAATCTAGACATATCTGATGCATGGTTTGATTTCAAATTGAGCAAATTTACATAATTGCTTTACATTTTCATAGGACTGCAATTTTACTCGTGTGTAATTTCACCTTGCTTTCCTCGTCACAGAAAATATCCATTGAGAATATCTATTATTCACTTTCTTGTGCAAAGCTTTCAGAGCAGTCCACAAAACAATTGCTGAAATCACATACAGACCTCTTATATCCCGGAATCTGATCCCAGATTATCTACTTATTCCAGATTATATGACAGTGGAGACCACATCAATAGGAGCATAGTGTCTAGATCCAGGGAAGTAATGCTACCCCTCTATTCTGCTTTGGTTAGACCACACCTGGAATATTGTGTCCAGTTCTGGGCACCACAATTCAAGAGAGATATTGACAAGCTGGAATGTGTCCAGAGGAGGGCGACTAAAATGATCAAGGGTCTGGAGAACAAGCCCTATGAGGAGTGGCTTAAGGAGCTGGGCATGTTTAGCCTGAAGAAGAGAAGGCTGAGAGGAGATATGATAGCCATGTATAAATATGTGAGAGGAAGCCACAGGGAGGAGGGAGCAAGCTTGTTTTCTGCTTCTCCGGAGACTAGGATGCGAAACAATGGCTTCAAACTACAAGAGAGGAGGAGATTCCATGTGAACATGAGGAAGAACTTCCTGACTGTGAGAGCCGTTCAGCAGTGGAACTCTCTGCCCCGGAGCGCGGTGGAGGCGCCTTCTTTGGAAGCTTTTAAACAGAGGCTGGATGGCCAGCTATCAGGAGTGATTTGAATGCAATATTCTTGCTTCTTGGCAGGGGGGTTGGACTGGATGGCCCATGAGGTCTCTTCCAACTCTTTGATACTATGATTCTATGATTCTATGACTCATATCATCCAGTTCAAAGAAGATAGGCTGGGGTCAGATCCTGGGATATAAGGACAGTGTAGAAGGGGCCACAGCCCTCTGCACTCTACAGCAGGGGTCCTCAAACTTTCTAAACAGAGGGCCAGGTCACAGTCCTTCAAACTGTTGGAGGGCCAGATTATAACACTGTTCTACAAATTTTCAGTTTTTCTCAGTTGCGGAAACGAAATGTGCCGTTTCTTAATAAATTTAACATGCTGAATTCAAATATAATAATTAAATGTGTTAATTGGCTCTGGTTTTTATGCAACAGCTATTTCAATTTTCTCCACAATAGGTAATTCGTTAATATTATGATAATGCGCCTAACCTTATTGCATGTATATAAACCGTGAATATTTACTAAATTTTAGTCAA